TGATTAAAATCACAAAGTGATTAAACAGAGAGAAGGAGCAGAGAAACATTTAAAGAAAGGAGTGGGATTCCTAAAATGTAAATGTATATTTAGTTTTATATCAGACATTAATAATTAAAAGATACTAATATTTAAATGTCCTGGGAGTTCCTTTGCTTCTTCTGGGGAAAATATTACCTAGGCAGGAAAAAATATTTTATATTTATACATTAAGAGACAAAAATCATGTAGTGATGAGAACTGCCACTTGAGTACATTACTTCATCACTACTTTTTTGCAGTTGTGATGCAACTGTGATGGTTTTACCACATCGCAGACTTGTTCCAAGCATGATATGAGATAACACACGCAAGGGATTTCACACAGTGAGTGCTGTGTGGTAAACAGCTTGTAAATGCTATTTAATTGTTATTGTCATTAAAATAATAATTATAAATTGTTACACAGAGTTCTAATAAAATAATTCCATGAACAGCACCAGGCAAGATAAACAGAGAATATTCTTCTATATACGAAGAAGCAGAAAGAAACCATGTGTAGAGTAGTACATGATAACACATAGACAGCATTTATTAAATTCCAGGCATGGTTTGAATGTTCTACATACCTTAACACATTTAATTCTCATAAAAGCACCAAACTATAGGTGGTGAATTTTTATGTAAGAATAACGAGGCCAAAGAATTTACATAATTTGCTCAATGTCATAGGCAGCTAAATGTTAGAATCTGAATCTCAGACAATGAAATATATTTATGCGCACACTTTTTGCCTCGTGAGAGAGCCTAGGAGTTGCTACCTTTGTTATAATAATGGATTATTTATAATAGAAATCCATGAATATAGACTGATGTAAATAAATGAATGATGAAGTGGAAAGAAAAACTTCCTTGCAGTAGAATACCAGCTAATATATTTGAAAAAAAAAAAGATGAAAATCAGAAAAATCAACATTTGCAATCCATCATCATAATAAATAATTCAGGACAGAAAGAAAAATAAAAGCTAAGACTAGTGATAAATTTGGGGGATTTGAATAGAATATTTATATAGTCACAAAATAGCTGTACCAAAAAAACTTCTTAATGGCGAAAAGAATAATAAAAGTAACTTTCAAGTAGAGAAGTCGGGTATCCACCATAGTGATCAAGTGTAAAATTATCACTATCGGTAACGGAATAAATCAACTTGAGTGCCAACGAATAGAATATAATGAAAAGCTGAGATCAGCCATTCCTTTATTTGCTTGGCAAAATGCATAACCTTGTTCTAATCATGAGGTAACAGGCATATCAGAACCAAGGAATACTCTAAAAGAAAAAATTCTCCTGTAATCTGTACAAATATTAAGGTCAGGGAAGAGACTATAGGCAGTGTGACAACTGAGTGCATTTGTGATCCCAGGTTAGATTCTCTCTTTTTTTTTAAGATATTATTTATTCATTTGAGAGAGTATGAGAGGGAATGAGTTGGGGTAGGGGGAGATGAAGGGGGAGAAGCAGATTCCCTGCTGAGCAAGGAGCCCAATGTGGGACTCATTCCTAGGATCCTGAGATCATGACATAAGCCAAAGGCGGATGCTAACCAACTGAGCCACTCAGGTGCCTCACAGATTATTTTTCTATAAGAGCATTATTATAGCAATTAATTCTTGGAATGAATATTGTAGAAAAGAAGAGGAGAAGGCAGAGCTGAGTTGGCCGTAGGCTCAATGGAAGGCTCAGAAACCAATATGGAAGATTCTAAAGTTGGGATTTGCCAGAAGAATAGTTGGAGGTCAGGGCAAGAAGGTGTGCCATTATACCCTTCACGAATGATTCATGGGAGGCCGGCGGCAGGAAATGGGCATTGTCTGTGTAAGTGGTGCTCTTCAGCTGACAGTACTCTGCCTGTAACACCCCCAGCAAATGGAGAATCATTTCTTCATTCCTGAAGAGGAATAGAATACTACTATACAAAATAATCCCAGAAGATGGGGACCAAAGGTGAATGCACAACATTTAAACTTACTATGTTAGGGGTGATCCAGTTATAAATATTAAAAAAATTAGTATAAAGCTCTTAAGTAATCCAACTATTATCTGGGATTATCACTGATACAATTTTGACATTCTATACTTTGAATTTTATTCTCAGAATTTATTATAGAACACAAAGTTGTCTCCCCAAAAAGAACACAAAGTTGCCTTATAGTCACTCCATACTTGACCCAATTTTGGCATTAGTTCCCTAATTTTTGATATATCTAATGATCTCAATCTCTGTCATAAAAATATTGGTTTTGGAAATGTATGGTTATTATAATTGATACAGTCAGAAAAAATAGATTTTGTCATGTTTTAGTAAATGATTATCTTGCAATGTTAAAAATGTATTAGTGTATTAATATCATGAAATAACAAAAGGCTGAGAAGTGCTCTAGATTTCATAAAATGGTAGATTATAACAGACAATAATTGCAAAGTACGATAGTTTTCACTCATTGGATTCTGTATCAGAAATAAGACAATTTAAAAAATTGAACATAGACTATGAATTATATGTGGTATTGTTCAGGAATAATTGTGTGTGTGTGTGTGTGTGTGTGTGTGTGTGTGTGTGTGTGGCGAGAAACAGACAGAGGGCAGACGGACAAAGAGGGGAAACCAAACTGGCAAAATACTAGCAATTGCCAAATCTAGGTGAAGAGTACTTAGCTGTTCATTATATTGCTTTCCCAAAATTTAGGGTTTGAAATTTCTCAAAAGTAAATGCTGGGAGAAATGAATTGATATAGCGAAAAACGTTATTTTTTGGAGTACTAAAATTTGAATTGAGTCATTTCCTTAATGCCTCAATGTAAGTGACTCCCATGTGAAAGCTTGAATATGAGCATAAAGGTTAAAACAAGTAAGAGGGAAAATAAAAAACATAAAAAAATAAAAATGAAAGACTGCAAAAAGTATGCAACCTTTGGGTAACACAGAGGGAGAATAAGGATGCATAAATATGATATACGTGCTTGCTTCTGTAATAAGAAAGAAGAGAATGAAAATACTTACAAACAGGGTGAGTGGGAATGGATGGAAGGAATAAATATGGGAGTGAGACTATTTCTGAGTATATCTTTCTATATAGTTTTGATTTCTGAACCATGGAAACACTTAATATATTTTAAAAACAGAATAAATACACCTGAAATTGAATATAAATGGAAACAAAAGAACTCTAGCCATAAAACGAATAGCATAACTATTCAGGAAGAAAATTAACTCATATAAATGTCGAGCACAATATTCTGTTCATTCTTAGTGGGATCCCTTCTCATACTAAAAATGCTGCTAAGAAATTTTAGCAGGTTGCTCGGGGGTATTTTGCTTTCAGTATGGAAATTCAGAGTGTCTACTGTGCACAGGTTTGAATAGAGTTAACACAGCGATGTTGTTGTGGTCCAGAGTTTTCAGTGTAAGAAGAAAAAAAAAGAAGCAACTGTGGAACTGGGTAAAATATAACAGAATCTTACATTTTCAGTTTCAGTTGGAGTTATTCATAATTTGAAGCCTTTAAAGGAGTGAACAACGCAATGTGAATGCAAAGTAGATGCTGTTTGGGGCTGCTAGTGGCGGCATTTCACTTGAAGTGAAATATGTTAGAGAAGCTAACATGTCATCTGGATATGCTCATGTTGAGAGACTGTAAGCAGCAGATCTTGGAAAATTATGATCAGTAATAGTCTTATCTCGTGAGATGGTAATTACGGATGTGTTCTCTAAGTCAAGTCAATATCTAGTTTCTTCGTGTTCGATTGTTATGATCTACCAGGTAAGCCAAAATAGTTTTAAAATCTACCATTTCTTGAGATGGACAAGCATAAGCCATCTAAATTTTTCATAATATGCAATAGAAAATTCTAAGCTTCAAGAATAAATAGGAAAGACAAGTCTTCATAAAATAATGGTTTTAAAGGAAAAAAGTGCTCTCTTCTGGGTTACGATTTTTCCAAGGATCTTAATTCCTTCTATGGCTTCAAATTCTTTACTACCTTGCACCAGTCAAAATGAATTGGGACATATCCATTATCTTACACTAAAACGCCACTTAAATTCACTCATGTCTAACACAAAAGCTTGAAATACCCTATCAAGAGAAGATAATTGCCAAGTTTACAGATACATTAGTCACAGAAAATTAGTGGAAAAACAAATGATTATGGCTACAACTGTGAAATCACATAAATCACAGGAAAAAGAAATCTCAAGAAAACCATCAAGCAGTTCTAAATTTAAATATGTAATGGATGTTAAAAAAGATGTCAATTAAAAAAAAAAAGAAAAAAAAAACCCTATATATTTTCTGACACATAGAAGTTAGGTGGAGAGTAGGATTAAACTTCTCTACCTCTCATGGTAAGCAACCATAGGAAATGATTCTCTTAAATATGCCCCCAAATATTGGGGCCCCTGGGTAGCTCAGTTGGTTAAGCATCTGAACCTTGATATCAGCTCAGGTCATGATCTCAGGGTCCTGAGATCAATACAGAGCCTGCTGGGGATTCTCTCTCTCTCTCCATCTTCTGCTATCCCTCCCCTGCTCATGTGTGCTCTGTCAAATAAATAAATAAATAAATAAATAAATAAATAAATAAGCCTCCAAACAGATTAGAATTGGATAATTCTATGCCAACTTTCATATATTCATAATTAAGGTTTTGTGTAAAAGCACTTGGAATATATAGTGTTTCCAGGCAGTGCTTAACTAAATTGACAAACATTACCTATTTTAATCCTCACAATAAACCAGCATAACACACAATACCAGTGTCCTACCAAAGCAGAGAAACAAGAGCTTCAAGTTTGTTAGTTCCTTATGTTGCAAATCAAGAATTTGGTAAAACAACTGAAGTCAAATTATTAAAACACAACATCTCTCAAATAAGGCAATTGTTTCCTTTAATTCATCCAGGAAGAAAAAAAAAAGCCAAAATGACAAATATGGGACTTTAAATGAGAAGAAAGCCAGGTTAATTATTCCAGACTGAATGAATTTATTGAGAAATTAGAGAAATGGTTCCTGCTTGAACGCCAAAAGGGAGGATCTATGGCAGCAGCATCATTCCAATGAGAGACCACACATTCTCAGGATGAATTTCACATGCTCCCACTTCACATGAATTAAATACAGGAAGGAAAAAGATTGCTGTATTCAACCCAAAGGGCTCCAGAAGGCAAGTCTTCAGCAAAGCTCAGAACCTGTGGGGCTCAGAACGGATGAATCCCACCTCCAGGTGTAGAGGGTGAGAGTCTCCTATGGTGACCTCCATTAGTAGTAGCCACATCCAGAGCCATAGCCACAGCCATAGCCACAGCCATAGCCACAGCCCAGTCTGCGGAAGCCACAGCCATAGCTGGAACCATAGCCACAGCCCAGTCCTCCGTAGCCATAGCCTCCATAGCCACAGCCTCCATAGCCACAGCCTCCATAACCGCAGCCTCCGTAGCCACAGCCTCCATAGCCGTAGCGTCCATAGCCACAGCCTCCATAGTAGCTGCCACACATGGTGCTGGTTGTTGAGATTGTGCTTGGGTAGAGAAGGAGAAGAGAAGTATCACTTCACTGTGGATAATCCCCCTGCAGAGACCTTTTATATGCTCTCAGTATGGGTGTAACACACCATATGTGTCATCCCATTGGCTAATTTTATGACTAATCTAATTAGTTTGTTGTTCCTCAACCATAAAATAAGTTTTAGAGGATTTTGGGAGGCTTTCTGTGTTTCTCCCTCAGTTTGGACTCCCTTTAATCAATCGAGGGCTTCAATGAGAGGAGATATGCACTCACACCTATATAGTCCTGCCCCAAATTAGAATTTCATTTTAGCCTTCTATAACCATTTTTTTTTTATATCAAGAAAGAATACATGTAGGGGGCAGCCCGGTGGCTCAGCCATTTAGCGCTGCCTTCAGCCCAGGGCCTGATCCTGGAGACCCAGGATCGAGTCACACGCTGGGCTCCCTGTATGGAGCCTACTTCTCCCTCTGCCTGTGTGTCTCTGCCTCTCTCTCTCTCTGTGTCTCTCATGAATAAATAAATAAAATCTTAAAAAAAAGAATACATTTATTAGTCTCAATCTTATTTGCTCTTGGAACCAGTTAGTTTCACTAACATTTTTAATATTTCATAAAAATAATACTACCTTTGGCTCATAAATATTTCTTCTTTTGATCCAAGTTAATTGTTTTCTTTGGGGATTCAGTTCTTTTTTGTAAAAAATCATTTGCATTTTTTAAAGACTTTTAATTTATCTATTTATAAGAGACACAAAGAGAGAGATACAGAGACATAGACAGAGGGAGAAGAAGGCTCCTCACAGGGGACCTTATGTGGGACTGGATCCCCAGACCAGAATTGTGCCTTGAGCTGAAGGCAGACACCCAACTGCTGAGCCACCCAGCCATTCCCCAGTTATTTTTCCATACTAAAACCATAATGTATCTTTCATTCTCAAGATGTTGATAATAATCCAATGAAGTTTTCCAAAATACCAAGTCTGAGCCAGATACATTACACTTTTCTAGTGTACAAATGTGTCTAATTCCCATTTACATTCAATGTATCCCAAAGAACTGCAAAACAGAAGCTATTATTTAGAATCCAATTGCTCTGCTTTTTTTCTCTATAAATTGAGCATACAATTATGCAAATAGTATTCTCATTAATATTAGAATTCTATTCTAAGGAAGTATCCAATAGGCTTAATATCACATATTTACATTTGTCAATATATGTAACCTTATAGGTTACATATGAGAGGTCTGTAACCAATCATACTTCATTCTGTTACACAGCCCTACCATTAATCTTTTTTCAAATTGATGTGATAATTCTTCCCATGGGGAGGCACCAGAAAAATGAGAACAGTTTCATGTGACATTTAAAAAATGTACATTTGTAACTTCACAAGAATGAATGTGGGGAGGTGTCATTATCCACACATTATGTGTAATGTCAGTATATTTCTGTTTTTCTAATGGTATTTCTGAGTTAAATTAATATTTTTGCATATCCCCTCATAACCATAGGCAGAGACAGGGAGTACAAGATGATGGACACTCTCAGTATTTTAGTTAACTCTTCTCCACAGGTTATCAGAACAAAGACACAAGATTTAAAAAATTTTCCAATTCATCTGCCTTTTAAAGTATATCTCATAAGTCAAAAGTTCCTCTTAATAAAATAGAATATTTTCACACTAAGGATCCGATCAAACCCATCCAACCTCTTATTTAGTGTATGTTTTTGAATGTTCTTTCCATGTGTGTCTTTTGGTTGCTTCATTTTTGTAAAATGGGCATATTATTGTCATTTTATTCACTGTTTCCTGGATTGAGATCTTAGAAGGAGAGGACATCTTCACTCTATAATTTTCAGATTTTCCATACAGAAAATAGAAGTAGCCTTACCTTCTCACTGCAGTTAATCAAGGAATAACTTAGAATAAGTTTTTTAAAAAAACTAATATCAATAACATACTGATCAGTTTTCTTCTAGGCTAAGTTCTTAGAACATCACTTGAAATTGGTATTACTAAATTGCATCAGTTGGTTAAAATACACACACACACACACACACACACAAAACTCTGATTAACTTTTTCTTCTTGGTATTTGATTAATGTAGCTGTAAAAGACATTGTTTTGTGTGATGTAATGTCCCTAATAACAACATTTATGAGGTTATCTCTATAGAATTTACTTCCTGGAGCTAATTTGTTTCTTTGAAGAGCCTAGTTGCCTTTCTGATCATAACTGAGAGCTTGCATCCAAGGAGATTCCATTAGCAATTTGTTTGCTGCGATTTTCTGAATCATATTCAGTTGTGAAGTACAGTCCATGATCAAAAGCAGAGGGAAACAATGCTCCTTGGGTTCTTGGGCCTTTCCAGCTGTTGTCTCTCCTTTTCTTCTGTTTCATTGCAAAACCTCATGTTAATTTCTATGGTAGCTTGCTCTTTTTGTCTTTTCTCACACCTTGGTCTTTGATCCTCACCACTCCACCAAAACTGCTCTTGTGGGGATCACCAACACCCCAATCTTGTCAAAGCTAGAAAACCAGTCTCCTTTGTTTTACTAAAACTGAGTAGCATTCAGATTCACCAGTTTCTCTTTCCATTGTGGAAGACTCACTGACACTTACCTATCTCCGACCACATACATTGGATTGATTGATTATTTATTTTTAAGATTTTGTGTATTTATTCATGAGAGACAGAGAGAGAGAGGCAAAGACATAGGCAGAGGGTGAAGTAGGCTCCCCTCGGAGAGGCCGAGGGGAGACTCCATCCTGGGGACCTTGGGATCATGACATGAGCTAAAGGCAGATGCTCAACCACTGAGCCCCACACATTGGATATAATTGCCATATCACTAGGTGCTCCTTTTTAGCAAGCTTTTTCTTTTCTCTTCTTCAGATCCTGTTATCAAATGTGCCCAGCTGAGTTCTTGTCCCGCCTATAGTTTCTATTTAAACTTTTTTTTATAAATTAAGTTTTTTTAACTTCATTGTAGATAACATATAGTCTGTGTTACATGAGTTTTATAGATTTAATATGGTATTTAAAGTTTCTTCAGAATTACTCTGGTTACATTATTTTAGCCAATTAATCTCAGTTCACATTTCCAGTTCTGGTATATAGCCAAATAATCACTTGAAATCTCCTTAGATTGATAATGGTCATCAAAAATTCAGTAAAATGAAACTAAGCTCTAGATTCTTTATAGCCCCAATTCTTTTTCTTTCTTCTTTTTTTTCCTACATCTTAAAGCATACGAGACATAAATCAGATGAAGTGCCTCCCCCTGGTTTATCCTTTACTGCCTTTCCACATTAAGGTTGCTAGATTACACTGGACACTTAGTTAAATTTGAATTTCAGAATGCTGAAATTCAGAATATTGGATTTCCCAAATATCACATGAGATATGCTAATATGAAAAATTATTTATCTGAAAGTCAATTTTTTATTTCCTATATCTAGTAATCCAAAGCTTAGTAACACAGTCTTTATGGGCTGCCTGGGTACAGCCTTGACTAGATCTATGAGTGCCTCTTGGAACACTCTTTCTCTCTTTGTATTACAGAGAGATCAGTAACCTTTCTTTTTTCTTCCGATATGCATATATTCTGTTTCCGGCTTGAGCTTCTTGCTTTGGGTTTGCTGAACCCTTGAAAGTAATAGCAAAAATGGCTAGGCCCTTTTCTTCCCTTCCCTGACCAACCCAGTCTGAAGTAATCTCTTACCAGTGCTCTTTTTAAATTTACCTTCCCTAGCCTTTGATTTGTTATGCAAATAGACTCATCGCTATCAGAAATCATCTCCTTCACTTGTAATATTTGGTTTCAAATATCTGCCTGCACTTCCTGCCCTTGCTCACTCTAGAATATAAGCTCTTAACAATAGGAATCTTGTCTGCTTGTTCATAGCTCCTTTTCCAATGCACACAGTAGTGCCTGACACATAATTGAGTCTTAAAGGTTTGATGCATGAACAGATTAATAAACAACCAAATCAATGTAATCAAGTGACATTTTAAAATTCTTTTATTTTGAAATAATTTGTTACCAAAAGTTACAAAAATATATAGAACATTCTCTGATACCCTTCCCCCAGTCACAGAACTATGTTAATATCTTTCATAACCAAGTACAATTATCAAAACTAAGAAATTAATCTTGTACAATATTATTAACTAATCTATACATTTTATTTGGATTTCGCTTTTTTTTTTTTCACTAGTGTCCTTTTGCTGGTCCAGGACCCAATTCAAGATCCCATATGGCAGTTGATTGTCTTATCTCTCTAATCTCCCTCAAACTGGTGGCAGTTTCTGTCTTTTCTTAACTTTAATGGCATTCACAATTTAAAAATCAAATGTTTTGTAGTATGTTCCTCAATTCAGACTTGTTCTTTTTTTTGTTTTGTTTTAACAAAGTTGAGGTTATACATTTTGGGCAAGAATACCAAAAGTGGCATACCTATTTCATTGTGCCATAATGGGAGGTACATGTCGGTAAGTCTTTGAGAGTTTCTGGAGTAGATTTTTTTTATTTCTCTCTCTTTTTTTAAGATTAATTAATTAATTAATTAATTATGAGAGAGAGAGAGAGAGAAGCAGAGACACAGGCAGTGGGAGAAGCAGGCTCCCCATGGGGGGCCTGATGTGGGACTCGGACCTGGGACCCTGGGATCATGCCCTGAACTGAAAGCAGATGCTCAACCACTGAGCCACCCAGGCATCCCTGGGATAGATTTTTAAACTCAAATTACTAATAGAGTAAGTCTTTCTATTTCTATATAACCATGATCCATGGATTTAAACTTCATGGATTCTACTGTGGTTTTTGATCATATACAAAATGATAGATGCCTATACATGAGAAGTATAAACCAAGGTGAATAATATTGCTCCACAAAACAAAACGAAGCAAAACACATTAATCATTCAGATATTTAGAAGTCTCTGCCAGGACTTCTTTCTGTAGTCTATACGACTCTACCATGTCTTCTCCACAGGAGAATTTTCCAACCTTCCCTACATCTTTGAAACTATACTTT